GTCATGGCACTTTTCTTCATATAAGCAATAATTTTCTCCTTCACCTTTTCCGGCACATTTGCACACGGTGCTACGTTTTTATGCGAGCATGATAAATGTTCCTTCATGCGGGTAACACCTCCCTTCACCACTTTTTCGCAAAAATTGCATTTCAAATAAACATAGCTCTTCTCTCCGCCGCATATATCAACTTGTACACTATATTTCCAAGAAGTCCCTCCGCAATGACGCAGACGCCTTTTCCTTGCCTCTAACCATGATCCCTAATTCCTTGTACTAACAATATGACATATTTTTTAACAATTATTTGTACTACCAATAATTAAAAAAAAAATATGAATACAAAAATATACCAGTCTGCCGGGGGTCCAAGGGGGCGCTACCCCCTGGCGGGGTTCGACCTGCCCGGTCAGGTCACAGGGTCAAGGGGCAGCGCCCCTGCGGGGGTTTCCGAGCATGTATCGCTCAGTACCGAGCATGTACCGCTCAGTACCGAGCATGTACCGCTCAGTACCGAGCTTGTACCGCTCAGTACCGAGCGGTACTAGTTTGGTACCGAGTATGTACTTAGCGATACCGAGCATGTATTGAGCGGTACCGAGCATGTATTGAGCGGTACCAAGCTTGTACTGAGCGGACGAATGAAAGAAAGCCGAATCAGGAGTTATTTAAGCTTTCATTACTGCACGTCAAAGTCAAGGCCACAACACCGCGTACATGCTCTTCCGACCTAACCGATGCCTGAACGTTTCCTGCACTCACAACTTCAGCTTCGTTTCTTTCCCTGCCTCGTCTCCTTCCGACTTCGTCTCCTACACTCACAGCTTCGTCTCCTTCCCTCACAGCTTCGTCTATTTCCCTCACGGCTTCGCCTCTAGTTCTCCTTTCAATTCTAATAGGAAGCCCTAATCCTATACGCGAATACACGACTCAATGCGGATGCCTCGTCCGCTTTTTTAATGGTTGATTTTAAGTAGGTAAGACCATTTAGATGAGGCGTACGCCTCACCCATAATTGCGCAATTGAGGCGCGCCTCACACAGGGTGAGGCGTACGCCTCAATCAGTGTACAAATTGTGTGCGCCTCGAGGCGCTTTTGGACAGAATTGCGCAGAGGCGCGCCTCTTATTGCGCAATTTTAAACAGAGATTTTTAATATTATTTTAAAGTGTTTTTTAAAAAAATTTATAGGTTAAATTACTTTATTAAAACACTCCCATATATACCTTTAAGTCTTCATGAATTTGAACATTTAAGCCTTTCTCCAAGAGAAAAGACCTCCAAATTAGCTTTGTGAATATTAGAACTCCAAATTTATGATTGTTAGAACTGGATTTCTCGCAAACAAATAACTAATGAAATATTAAATGATAAATTATAATATTTGTCGTCATAAAATCATTAATTTTTCATATGAGTCGCATCGTTTCATAGAGTCAACACGCCCTTTGATGTATCGAAATTGGTAGCTTTTGTTATCTGCCCAACATTTTGGGAATACAATATTTACACTTCAAAAAGAAAAAAATTGTTGTCCTAATTCTTTGATGGATTTCTTTATTGATGAGTACATCCATTGTTTCTCTAAGAATCCCACATGAACTTGTATAGATGGATTAAATAATCCAAAGACAATCTCGCTCAACACTCCATTTAAAAAGACTGCCAAGCAAATCATGTCATACATTACAATCAAACAACCTCTAACAAGTGCACTATAAAGTATTCAATACAATCTTCTTTTTTTTTTTTTTTTTTTGAAAAAAGCATTAAAATGTTTTATTAAAACTAAGAATCCCACATGAACTTGTATAGATGGATTAAATAATCCAAAGACAATCTCTCTCAACACTCCATTTAAAAAGACTGCCAAGCAAATCATGTCTTACATTACAATCAAACAACCTCTAACAAGTGCACTATAAAGTATTCAATACAATCTTTTTTTTTTTTTTTTTTGGAAAACTTGGGGCTAAGCCCGTATATTAAATAAAAGGAGATTACAAAAGATTACAAAAAGACTAAGAAGATCATACATAAAAAAACCAGCCTAAAACCAAAGGAAAAGATGCAACCGAAAGATCTTCAAGGTAGAACACCCACAAAATCGGTATAAAACCAAAAGAGGGCTCAGGTTAATTGGAATCGACAATAGTAGACAATCATAATAAAAACAGAAGCTGTTCAAAGCCCACATGAAGCAGCAAAAATCTCTGGTTGCCAAGACACTCTTCAGAAGCTTTGAGCAGGTTGCAGCAAGTGCCATCTCAATTGCTAAAACTGGGACAGAAGAGAAGCTCAGGCCATCCAGGGGCAGAGGGACCAATTGTCGATTCCATCATCATTGCCCAATTCCATATAAATCATCCCAAAAAACGGTGATGCAGAGAGAAGCACATAGGATACTTAATTCTCAATTTATCAATATGCTTCCAGTATGTCGTCTTAGCCGAAATGGCATAAACAATTTTATGATAGATAGTGTTGTTGACCTCGATTTTGCCCAAACCCGGGTCTAAAGAGTTGACTTGGTCAAATTGATCAAGCCAGACCCTTTGGCCCTCCCCACTGGGTTCAGTGGGTCGAGTTGAGTCTGTCGAGCCCGAGCTTGGACCCGGGGTCAACCCGGTTGACCAGGTCAACCAGAATTGACCAAATGGGACCCTTTAAGCCTAAAATCTTTTTTTATTTATTTTTCATAGTTTCTTGAGCTCGAGCCCCACCCCCTTGACTCCCTTGACTGGTTTGACCAAGTCAATCGTTGACTTGGTCAAACCAAATCTTAAATAGGCTTAAATAGCCTATTTAGAGCCCAATTAAGAGCCTAATTAATGCCCTTAACTCCTCCAAACGTTTTGAAACTCCAAATCCCGCCCAAATCACTTGATATAGCCTGGTAATGGATGGTGGATCGATCTCGGCCGTTGATCTCAAACCTTGGCTCTTAAATACCCAAAATTAAGTCCAATTGAGGATATCTTTCGGATTGCTCTTGCCCTAACCCCTCTCGTCCCGAGAAACTTAGCGTGAGAGCTCTCCTCATGCTCCTCCACCTTTCCCACGTCAGATCTCGGCAACCTAGGCCCACCGGCGGCGAGAACTCCAATATGTCAACTTTTTAGTTAGCTAACATTGATATATTCATTTGTTTGTCCATCAACGACTATGATCAAATGCTGATAACAACCATTATTCTTTTCCTATGATCAAATGCTGATAACAACCATTATTCTTTTCCTATGATAGCATAGAGAGGCGACTAATAGTAGAAATGTGAAAAGTGTAATAATTCTTAGTTTTAATAGTGATTTTCTTAATAAGAGCTTAGTATTTAGTATGATTACTATTTAAAGTTTTTCAAGGAGACCAACATTTGGCTTTACACAAAACAACAAGTAAACTATCAATATTAATATAAAGTTTGTGAATAAGGGAGCATTTATAAGCAGGATTCAAAGATTGAATGGAAGGTAAACCCAAGCCACCCAAATTCTTAGGCAAATAAGTCTTTTAATAATGAGAGATATTAATGAGTTGGGAGGACCCTTCAATAATATGAGAAGATAAATTATTTGGGTAGGTTGAATTAGGGGTATCAATTCGGGTCAACGGGTCGGGTACTCGGAACTGCACGGCACTATTCGGGTCAACCCGAACCCGACCCGTTTTAATGAGTCAGATTTTCGGACCCAAACCCGACCCGACACGAATGACCCGAAGTTGACCTAAAATTGCTAGTTTTCGAGTCAAAAATTGGGTCAATCTTCGATTTTCGGGTTAAAATTGAGTCAAAATCGGGTCAATCTCGGATTTCCGGGTCAACTAGGAGTTTTCGTGTCAATTTCGGGTTGCTGGGTCAACCCGAACCCGACCTAATTTTTAAAACTGGTTGATTTGTTAAACCCAAACATGACCCGTTTCAGGTCCGAGTTGACCCTAATCCAAATTTTTTCGGGTCAGGTTAGAATCGTGTTTCGGGTCGTGACAAAAATTGACACCCCTAGGTTGAATCCATGCGAGCCTTACTGATGAGAACCTCTTATAATAATGAATTTCCTCCTGTGAGGCAAAGAAAGTTTCAAAATCGCAAGAAATAATAATAATCATTATTACAAGTGACCTATGTTATGGATTAGGTCAATAAAATGAAGCAGCAGACACTGTTTTCTCTGCACTATAGCTCAGTTCTATCACCTATGACATCCCCATTTGGGTATGAGAAAAATTTTAAAAGCAAGCATGATTATAAAGTTAATTATGTGATTAAGTATCATTAAAATAAATTTTAAAAATAGGCATAGTCGCCCGTTGAACGGATGACTAGCAGGTGAATTAAGAGTGCTGACTCAACTGGCCGTTAGCGTATTTTATTGAAAAAAAATTAAATTTTAGTGTAAGTCGCCCATTCACCGAAATTTTAGTGTAAGTCGATTACTGATGACTCAATGGGCGACTTACAATAAAATCGATTAAGTTTAAGTCGCATGTTGGTAAGTCACCACATGAACTTAGTTTTATTTTGGTATAAACCAAATTAAAATAATAGATGCTAAAGAGTATTATGGTGAAAATTTTGAAGTTAACAACTGATAAGTCAATATTAGCTGGTTTATGCATCAAAATTAGTGCATACTTTTCAATATTATCAGCATAGGAAGCTGTATCATGATTTGTTACAGGAAAAATGCATGTGCTGGAAAGTTATAATGTCCCATCATCTGAACTTTGCCTATTTGATCAGTAAATTTTTTTTGTCATGAAGTTCTTTACCGTTTGTTTGGATGTAGATTAGTGCGAGTTATTTGGTTTTGATTTTGAATTTTAATTTCAGAGTAGTTTTCGTCAGAAGCATTAATATTATTTTATTTGAGTGTAAATGTCTTGTATCATAAACCTCTTCTATATAAGGGATGCATTTGGAGACAGTGAAGAAGGTTCATTGGAACAGGTTGAGTCGGGTAAATTTTCTGTAATATTTGAGGTTTGAGTCCTACAGCTAATTTTTCGTAGTTTGTTCGTGCTTGTAATTTTTAGTTTATTTTAATCTTAATTATAATGATGCGATCTGCTCCTAGTTGTCTTATATTTGTTCTATTATGTATGTTCTCTACGGTAGATCAGTGTAGTTCTTCCCTTCTCACAGCACGTCCCCCTTCTACCAATAAATTTTGAATTAAAAACTCTTCATTTTCCAAGCTAAATATAATATTACTGTCAGATTCAATCTCCGCATTCCACTGACATGTAGTCCTATAAATTTCAGCATGCTTGTTATTTGCTACCATACATTCCTCCAAATCACTAGTCCAGAGTAATCACGAATAACCTCATTAATGTCGTTATGATGAACAACATTTCTAACATTCATATTCTTCACCAAATCATCGAAATCTTCAGGCCCCTCCTCGCTTGAAATACTACTCAATGTCTCATACCCTACATTGATTACAAGAATAGAAGCAGTGAACTTACTCCCAAAAAAGAAGTAGGTTGGGAATGCATTGAAGAACCGACTAAGTTAAGTTCACTTTGTTTTTGCAACAATTAGCATCGTACAAACATATCATTAGTTAAAGAATAATAAAATAAGTTGTATGACTCAACAAATAAATATTGTGTTTAATTCACAACTTACCTAATATTTGCATTTGGCATTGGTAACTGACCATACGAAGGACCATGCATCATAACTCTATGATCCAATATGTCATAACCACAAATTTAAGATGAAAATTTTTTATCAAAACTACTCCCCGACAATTATGCATGGTCCTTGATCCAATATGTCATAACCACAAATTTAAGATGAAAAATTTGTTACAATATCAAATAATACTACATAATTAAATTCATAACAAAATTAAATAACTCATTTTACAATTTTAATAGCCAAAATAGGTAAAAAAAATCTTACACAAAATTACGTATTTAACATCTTCAACAACACATCTTAGCAATACCAAACAATACTACATAAACAAAGTAAGAAAAAAAATATCAACTCATATTAATAATTCAGTAACCAAATTAGAAAAAAAAAATATACACAAATTTAGGAATTTCACATACTCACCAACACATCTTGAACAACCAAATTCAACATCTTCACCAACACTCATGAACTCACATTCTAGGAAACAATATACTACTTGAATTTCTCTTCCATATCAATTTTGTTCAATTAGGAGATCACAAGATTTTCCAAAAAAAAAAAGGCAAAATCAAAGCCTTAACTTACATTTATATCAACTAATAACGGCTAAAATGTAAAGATTAACAAAAAAGACATTTAAAACCCTACCTTTCACTTCTCACTACTCTCACATGGACAAACGAAACGATAATTAGGTTTCCGAATCAGACTTTTCAAGAAAAAAATTCATCTGACCCGGCCGCTACAAAGTTACGCGCATTTGATAGGTCGAAAGGAGCCGTTTTTGAATCAAGTCGCCCGATGAACGGGAGACTATACCTATTATTAAATTTAAATAGTAACATACTTAATCGCTTAATTAAGTTTATAATCAAGTTTACTTTAAACTTTTCCCCTTTGGGCATCCGATTCTTCCGTCCTCTCCACCCATCACTTTCTTTAGGACCACGCATTCTAATATTTGTAAAATTAAGCATTCAGATGTTCAGCAAAGAATCTCGCAGTTATATATAAAAAAAAGAGAGGGCTTCATTTGCTTTGATGACTAAACACACCTTCTGCATATATATAATTTTATTACATATATGATTTTTTTATAGCTTTATATTACTCATCTAAGCCTCAAAACAGATCCAAAAAAAAAAATTACAGAGCAGAACGAATACAGATAATTCATTCAATTTAAAATTCACCTTCACTCATCATCGAAAGAGAAAGGAGGAAACAACCCCCGCAATCACAGTCGTCGGATCCCCGAGCACGGCGGAGATAACGAATTGCACCGCCATCGCAGCCAACTCACAGCACCTCTTCACCTTTCCCTTCCCGCTCCGGTGATGACTCATCCCCGCCCCTCTAATAGCTGGAATCCTATTCCCCGACACCATAACCTTTTTCCCTCCTCCACCGCCGCCGCCGCCGCCGCCATAATAGAGCTCATGCCAGCTCTCCACTAACATCTCCGTCACGCAAGCCACGTGCAAATTATACTTTTTGCACTCGCTCCTATAACTCCAGCTCCTCCCCTTCCGCCCACACCTATGACAATTCGCTGAAGCCCGGCGTTGAAGGTGGAGGCGGAGGCCGCCATCGGCATTGAGCACGTGCGGGAGGGCGGCGCAACAGGGGTGGAGGTCAAATCCGCATGTGCGACAGTGGTAGACGAAGCCGGCGATGTTGCGGCCGCATGCGTTGCAGTAGCGAGGGGAGTCGCCTGGAGGGGAAGGGAAGAAATAGAAGCGGCATTTGGGGTAGAAAGGGTGACGGAGGGCGATGGCGCCGACGGTGGCGGCGGCGCAGTGAGTGTGGAGATCGAAGTCACAGAGAGAGCACTTGAAGCGAGAGCCAATGCCGACTTCGCGACAACCGTCGCATTTGAAGGGAAGCTCTGAGTACTCAAAACGCAGCTTATGTTGTGGGTGGCTGAAGTGGTTGAGCTCGTCATACTTCATGGGAATGGAAGAGGGAGAGAGCTAAGGTCAGGATGGAATGGTTGAACTGATTTTGGGAGGAGAAATTTTGATTCTGAATGTATATATATAACGGGTGATCGAGCTATGTCTCTTAATTATTCAGCCCATTTCAATGAGAAATTCTGGTTCTGAATAATGTTTTGGATATAATCTTATGCTTATCGACTTTAGATTCTAAATTATCTGTCTGAAATGATTACTGCCTTTGATTTAGTCATATTCTCTTAAAAGCCTTAAAGGGTTATTTGCACCTTCATTTGCTTGCTCAGGTTGTCATGCTAGAAAAGAAAGCATATGCTCACATAAACCCATCAGGAGGAGATTATTTTGTGCGGACGTCGAACGCAGCTCTACATCCGGAGGCTAATCAGAATGAGCCATCTCAGCAAAATTGAGCGGTACCGAGCAGCGGTACCGATGCGGCTCATTCTGATTGGTCTCCGGATGACGTTCGGTGTCCGCACAGAATAATTTCTCCAACCGAAGGAATTCCACTAATTGAAATTTATTTGTCTCCCTTCATCAAGAGATTAGATGGGATAGAGAAGAATATGTTCCTAAAATTAATTCTAATTTGTGACTAAAGTCATTAATTTATTGTAAACATACGTTAAGGCTTCATTTGGGGTGGCATTTTTCCTGCTTTCTAAAGTTGCTTTTTAGTTCAAAAAATTTTTGAACCAGAAATTTTTATACTAAAAAGTTGATTTATAAAGCATTAAGAAAGCCGCCCAAACGAAGCGTAAATCTCCATTGTTAAAATGAGGAAAGCTTGAAGATTTGAATCAAGCTCTACTCCAACATTATCATTGAGCTAGAAAGAATTTATGGAGATTTACAGTAGCAGCAACTGATTGGAAACATCCCTTACATAGTTTAAACAAAAAAAATTATAAAAATAACAGGTCATATATAGTACAAAAATAACAAAATTGAACTAATCAGCACTTTATTAATCTAATCCTGAATGAAGCAGTCCCTATACAGTTTATTAAGCAACCTGACATAATATCACAAGACAGGCAGATACTTAATTTCTGCAAAATGCAAGATTATGAAGATTGAAAGAGTCATTATCAGTGGGGAACAACAGCAACTGAATAGAATAGCATTTAATTTATGCGCTACAGATCAGACTATTCTAGGTTCTAACTGCTGCCATTAATGAATGAGAGGAATTTTTTGGTTAATAATTGCAATTAAGGGAATAAGAATAGAATAGCGTTGGGGTTCTTTGCACATCAATAACCAACATAAAGGCTTTATTCTCATATTCTTCCTAGAAAGCAAAAGCAATTTGATTAGTAGAACTTGGAATATGTTGCCAAGTGGAAGAGGGATTACTTGGCTAGTAAGTAGGCGATGGTTTTCAATGCCAACCCTCTGTTCATCACTCTCACTCATAACTAATATCACTTATACCAAATATTGGGGAATAGTTGAAACTTGTGTAAATACAAAGAGATTTTTAAAAAAAATTAACACATAAAGATATAAAAGGATCTTATACAATTTCGCCCAATTAATAAGTATGTATTATTGATGTCGTCGCATATTTCATTATTTATTATAAAAAATTATAAATATAAGACGAAGCCCCCTCCTTTTTTTTAAGGAAAAAAATGTAGGGCAATAAAAGGAATGCAAGAGATTCTCAAAATATCTTTTGATGAAATAAACAAAAATATTGGATACCTTTTGAGGGTTCCTCCTTTAAACCCTAGAAGCAAGGGTTTCTATCACCTTCCAACATATGTATTGACCTTATCTTGATAGGATTGAACATTAATAAAGTCTACGTAACATTTTTTTTAATTAATTTTATTCCAATACATAAAAAGGAGGATACAATCAGTAGCTAATAAAAAGACAGGCACATAGCAAAACAAAAGAGATGATAAAGAAGCCACCGGGCTCAACAATTGGCAAAGAAATTGCAACAACCCAAATTGCAGGCAAGGGCCGTCTAGGCGAAAGACACCAAAATCCATGAAGCATCAACTGAGATAAATTTGCAGCACCACCAATGATTGCCAAAATGCCTCGAAAGTCCAAATGGTGAGCTAAACCTAGCCACATCATTGCCCAAAAAATATACAAAGCAAACAGTAAGCCAACCCAGTCCGAGCACATCCTCAACAATCCAAATTCCAAGCAATGCCAAGAGAGATACAAAACGACCAAGGAAACAAAAGACGTTCCCCAACAAGAAGAGACAAACACTTTTAGGTTTCCGTCCCCTACGTTTGCCACTGCCCTGGGAGAAAGCCTTCTTAACCAAACAGTTCACATTCAAATTAAATAGTTCATCAAACTTCACCTCGTCTCCCAGTAAATCCAACCCCTCGCCCTCACTAAGCAAGCTCAAGTTGTCTTCAAGCTAATCGGATTATTACATACAAGCATCATGCATTGACAATTTTAATTGAACTTTTAAATTATCATTGGAAATGATAACAACAGGGATCTCAATCGTACCATCAACCAAAGAAGAGGGCATATCAGGTTCATCAAGAACATCAAGCATTCCACTTAAAGAATCATCTAATACCACGTAGTCAACACAATATAACTCTATGTTAACCACATCCAAGACAGGAGAAACAGTAGGAATAACATCCAAGGAATCCTTACTAATAACAGCTAGAGAATCATCAGCCTCTTGCACAAGATCCATTACCTCGATGGCATCTTAATCAAACCATCATGGGCAACCATTAGCTCAGGAGAGTGTGCAATCTTAGAAATCAATACAATCTCGGGAGACACCACCAAAAATTACCACAGAAACAGGCAAACCCAAACTACCACCATCAGCATAGCTTCCTAAATGACCTTCACCGACATCAGCAGCCTCCTTTAGAAGATCCAAATCCACCTTATTAAAAAGCTCCACAGTGGTTGGCAAAACACTCTTATTGCAAGAGATTTAGAAGGAGGAATAATGTTCAAGGAATAACATTCCAACTTCGAATGGCCAAGAGATTTACAGTGCGAGCAATAAGAAGGAAATTCTTCCATGATAACAGCCTAAACATAACCCAAATTTTCAGGACCAACCCACACCCAATCCGGATAGTGTTTATCACATCCATCTCAACTAGAACTCGAGCAATTGACATCCTAGAACCACAAGTAGTAGCATGGTTGGTTTTAAGAGGCCAAGTAAAGAGGGAACCTAATCCATTAAGGATACAGGGTGAAAAAGGTGAGGTCGAAGATGGGGGAAAGACACCCAAATGGGGATTATGGGAGATTCCACCTCAACATCAAACATGAGAGACCACTTAAAAAGCTTCATATAGCAATTGTTCACAAAATAAGATCAATGAGCAAACACCCTACAGTAATCCAAAGCATTAACTAGCTTAATCAAAACATGCCTCATATTGAGAATAGTCACAAAAACTTCACCAATAAGTTTCAGATTGAAAAAGAATTTACGTGGCCTGAAGGGACAGACGTCGTGCCGGAAATTTACCAACAAGGGTGAACTCAAAGGGTGCAACAAGAGCTAAGATTTCACTTTCTGAAATCTAGAGCTCCGGCATGCCGCAATGTGAAGTGATTTTCAGCTCAGGGAAACTTAGAGAATGAGAGTCATTAGCTAAAGCATCTTTGAAGGAACAAGAGGAAGGCATCCCTTTTAAGAAACCAGGATTAACAAGATGACCGGCCGTAACCACAAGCAGAGAAAATGGCACAACACAAAACCGAATAGAGACAAGACGAAAATTGGGAGAGGAAAACTTCCATGTGGGCAGGCGGACGGCGGATGGCCAGGATGCGGCTCCAGGCGTGAAGGAGGAGGGGGTTAGGGCGCCTAGCCGAGCCCCAGAAATGTCGGGAGAAGAGCAAAGCTAGAGCGAAAAAAAAATAATTTTAACATGTTTTCTTCGTAGGGCAAAATTTAGGTTCCACAATTTAAAATTATATTTATGTAAGTAGAATTGTATCACCCCAATTGTTGAGTGCATTTATATGACTATATTAAGAACTTATTTTATCCATTTAATTATATAATTATACTAATCACTTCATAAAGAAAGAATAAGAAAACTAGCAATTTTAAGCAAAATTCAGCAATTTATTCTTACCCATAGAATTTTTAAGGTTAACTTTTACTATAATAGTTATGTTACTAGTATTTATACTTTTAATATTAGCTTTCATAAATCTCCATTCAAGAGTAAGAGTATCCACTTCATGTTCAGACAAGAGCACCCCAATCAAAATATGCATATATCCTTCATATAGGCTATGCAACCAAACTCTTCAATATCAGAGAAACTTGAAGCCAAAGTTTTCTAACAGTATGTTGGTTCTCTAATACCATCACTAACTAGTATTTATACAATAAGATTAAATTGTATAAAATAAAATTATTTATGAAATTCTCCTATAGAAATTAGAAGAGAGAGGACACCAAGTAAACTCTTTTAAGATTAACAAGAACTTAACGAAAATTTGATCTTCCAAAATTTCATCAAATTTATATTGCAATTTAAGATATAGAATACTATTTTCATTGTCCATTTGGAGTGCACAAAGTGGGGTTTACATATATAGGCAAAGTGGCGAAGCTAAAATAACTCCAAAAATTCTTCCTAAAACTAAAAAGTCTAACTATTTGTTATTTCAAAACTGATTTCAAACTAGTATAATGTACCTCTTATCACCTCTACAACTGCTACTAATTAAATTACAGAGAAAGAATGCAAAGATCTTTCATTTTAAACTTCAAAGCTAAATACATTTTTTTCATTTATTCTAATCATATAAGTACTAAAAATTAACAACCATCAATATAAAGACTGATAATGTCACCATATTCACTAAGAAAATAATCAAATCAGATGAAATAAAATCAGGATATAAAGAATTTTTCTATCCTAATCCTCTAACTTCTCCTTAATTATATAGGTTCATTATTTACTTTTTCTTTTCTTTATCACTATTATTTGGAGAAATATTACTTTATTCAAATATAAATTTATTTTAACAAAACTGAGGATTTAAAGATTCTACAATTATATTAGACTCAAAATCAATATTAAATTTAGCTCATTCTCAAATCCTGAAGCACTCTAGGATTTCAAATTAAAAATTTGGGAATTAATTCGTGATCATCTGAAATTTGACTTCAATCCATTTATTATAAAAGCATACATCTAGATGAGAGTAATCTAATCAACCTAAAAATGCTCAATTTCAATGTCATTAAGACACTCAAATGCTCACAAAATATCAAATATGAAACGAGGATTATTCTGGTGTTTAGGAATTTGATGAAAATAACTAACTTTTGAATTAAAAATTTATCTCATTTCACACTAAGAGGTCACTTTTGATGGATAGAGTCCTTGAATTTGAAGAATTACAAAGTTATGCCCTCTATTCAACATATACGCCCACCACCACTAGATTGTTGTTGTTGCTCGTCAATCAACACAAACAACCATTAATCATGTTCACCGTCGTCCTACAATTGTCGTCAACCTTCAACCCATGCCAATGTTTGTCGTTGCACGAATCATCAATTCGATGCAAATGATTGTCGGTCCTTCCAATTTCTCTAATAATATGGTTCACTACTCTCACAAGAGATTAAAATAAAAATCCAAAAACTATAACCTCACCTTCTCTAGCTAAGAGAGAAAGGCTAGATTTGTATAATAATCAACTTATATAATTTAATATTTTGGTTGGATAAGGCCTTGAGAAATTTTCTTTCTTAATTTTTCACATACAAACCCTTATGATTCTTATGTACTTTTGTGAGCATGGAACTTTATGCAACACTAAGACACAAACTCACCCTCTAACACCGCAATAATTACTATTCCATAATTCTCACTTTAATTTGTACCTTAGAAAAATGAGAAAGATAAAATAGAGAAAATCATTCATTCTATTTTCATCAAATTCCCTCTTCACTTTTATTTTTCAGCTTTTCTTTCGTTGCTCATTAAAACCTATGGTAAGGTAATTTGGAAATTATGTGGCCTGAAAATCACTGGCGTAGATGGCGAGCATGGGACTTGTTTTGGGCTGAATCCCCGCAGCTAAAATCCTAATTCTGCCAATTCGACTAGCCTTGCAAGCTATAATCAAAGAGAAGAAAAACCTTTTATAAAGAACACTAAGGCTTCGTTTGGGACGGCTTTTTTATTGCTTTCTAAAACGGAGTTTTAGTACAAGGGTCACTAGGAAGGCTTCCTAAGTCAAGGGCAGCAGCTAATCCCACTGAAATGCTTGCTGAAATTGTAGCTACAGCAGCTGGAAAGTCCAGGGCAGCAAGCACAGAAGAGGGGGAAGATAACTAAGTGTTTCGGCAAGGTTCCCGGGTCTAGACAGCACCTAAACAGCGACTCTAGGTTCACTAACGGATGTCTAACAGCTGCAGGAAACAGTGGACAGCAACTTGACACTACCTAGAACTCACTCTAAAGGCTATACTAAGTGCAGAAAATTAGTGGGCAGCAAATGTTTAAGTGGCCTAGACTATTAAGGATGTCAAATTGAAGGTGGCGGCACTTAAACACATGAATATACTAAGGTATGATGAGAAATAAATGATGCAGATATTTCTGGACAGCAGTAGAAAAACAGGAAATAAAGCTATCTAGATAATGGTATGCATGCAAACTTCTAAGGATAACTTAAATTGGATTCCTAGGATGCAATCTAGCAAAGGTAAAGCATGCTAGCCATGCTCTGATACCAAGATGATGTGATACGTTCAAGAATTACACATGAAATTCATTACGAATCACAAAGTTTACCAATATAAGATTAGAGTATCGTAGGTTAAGATTCACGAAATTTCCGTTATTGAAATGTTATGATAAGCAATTACAAACTAGTTGTTTAGACACAATTAATGACGGATCTCAAAAGTATCGCAATAAAGAAAATGCGGAAAATAATAGAATCCCATGGCTAATGTCTAGAAAGTTCATAACGAGTTACCTTGCTCACTCACACTCAAGTCGGGCTTAGCGGGAGAAGGCCTTTAGCAAACTCAACGATGCCACCACGATGGTGGCAACACCAATGGCCTTGAACCACGGAGAGGTTGACGGTGACGGGGATGGCGTGAATGCTTGACTGTCGATGCTCCAATCGTAGCTTGAAAATCGTCGGTCGATGATGCTCACAAGGATCGGGACGACTCGCTCCAAATATTCTTCAACTGTGGCGCCGTCTTCAAATCCTACGTCAAAGCACGGAGATCGTAGGATATTAATGCTTCCTTCGGCGTTGAGTACTAATCCCCACTCAAACTCGGGATCCGCCATGCATAATTGGCGTTGGGGATCTTTCAATGAGAAGAGGATTAAATGACGGTGAGGGAGAGTCCTTGCCTTGGAAGAAGGATGAGGAGGAGGGAGGAGCCGGCGGGATCTCCAAGGAGAGAGGGATTTCGGCCAAGGTGGGAGAGAGGGGCGGGTGCAAATGAGGGAGAGAAGCTAGGTTAGATGAGGTGGCATGAAGTTTACTCAAATCTGAAATTAATCTCAGATCTTAGTAAATTTGGAGGGAATAATTTGAAAAGAACTTCAAATTTCCAATGTAATTAAGGGGGATTTAATGAGCAATTAAAGGGGCTCATCAAGTGGTGGGCGGCGGCATGCTTAGAGGGGAGGAGAGGTTTGAAAACTTAAAACTGAAATTTAATTTCAGTTTAAGTAATTTAGGAGGGAAAACTTTGAAATCAAATTATGATTTCAAAACGGTCAAGGCATTAAACAAGCAATTAATGGGGAAATTTCTCCATGGGGGCCGGCGGCATGCATAGAGGGAGAGAGGGGAATTCAAGGGAGAAAGGATTCCAATTTAGGATGATGATGTGGCAATAGGTTTCATAACTCCAATCTAAATTAAATTGAAATTGAATCCCATCATGAAAACGTTCCTAAATTGGAGTTCCAAATAAGGAAAGAATTCAAAATTTGAAATTTTCAAATTTCAAATTTGAAAACTGTGTAGGGAAGGGGTTGGGTGGGTGAGGGGAAGTTGCCGGCAAGGTGGCCGGCCGGGGTTGTGGTGGTGGCCGGCGGCGGGTTCCCAAGGGACGGCGGCAATGAAGGGTTGGGAAGGGATTTTCTTGTGTTGGAGGAGAAGGAAGATGGAGGTGAATACGAAGGAGAAGATAGAAAACCTAACCACGAGCCGCGGACTCTTCCAACGACTGGTGGGCCTTGCGATTTGCTCCCCTTGAGCTCTCTCCCTTCTCAAGCTCTCATGCAAGAAGAAGAAGTAGAAACACACAAATTTTTCATTCAAATATTCATTAACCTCAATACAACTAGAAATGACCTATATATAGGTCCCAACACAAAAGAAAATTACAAAGACTATATTGCCCTCGGGGCTACAATCATGACTCAGCTCATACTAAGGGTACAATAAGAAACTCCAAGAAATAAAAGAAAAATGCATAAAAGAAAATACATAAATAACTAGAAATATAAACTCTGAATCGTGACCGTCGATCTGCGCTGTCTTCGGCGATACACATGCTTGAATCTCTGATCGATGTCCTCATCATACATATTAGTGATTTTGAGATTTGTTCTTGATGATATGAATTTGATGCAAATGTCTTTATGAATTTAGTATAATTCAACAATGTAAATGCTATAATAACTAATATTAAGTCTATCCCCTTTGTCTCTAGGCGCTTCATAATTATACAGGTACTAATCTTGATCAAATAATAGAGTTTAACATTTCATTTGGGATAATTTTTTTATTAATTTTTAAAATAACTTTCTATACAAAATTTTTTTGAACTAAGAAATTTTATACTAAAAAGTTGCTTTAAAAAATAATAAAAAAATGAAGCCTAATTCAAAGTAAAGTGCTTTTAAGTGACAACCAATATTCAATATAATAATACATCTTTAAATTATGTACATATATGTTTTAAAATTTTAAGGCCACTTTAAAACATTCAAATGTAGGTAAAAGAGTTGAGCTTTGAATTGTATGATAAAAAAAATATGGATCTATGTTTAGATCAAAGCCAACAAATTAGTCAGTGAGCCAAGTTCATATCAAATCAAAATTGATTTAATTCATCTCAGATTAAAAGTTTATTTGGGACAACTGCCTCGCTGTTTTACTTTCAGACAAACAACCACAATTTCATTTGTATAATATTTTCTTACTGCTTTCTCATCGTTCTTCAGAAATTTCTTTTGTGGAAAGCTGATTGTTACAGCCAAATAGCTAAGTTATATTCTTCATTACAACTTTACAACTTACTCTATAAAACGTTGCAACTGTGATCATAAATAAAATTAGGTTGAGAACAAAATCTATATATTTCCAGAGGAGATATTTAAGTGCATGCAAAAATCTTGTATCTATAAAATTAATTTTAAATCATTTAAAATAACTAATCAACTCATGCATTCAAATATAACTCATATTATTTATCTATGTTTAGCATAAACAAGACTAATTATGTCTTGATAAAATAATAATAATAACAGATCAATTTTATCTTAAATTGGCATAAATAGAGACAAACAGGTTAAATCTGAATACAACGTTGAAATTGAAACGCATTATAAATTACTTACTAACTTTAATTTTAATTATCTTTAATAAGTTATAATGATAAATAATATATTTAGGAGCTAATTTAATTATTACAAATTATCAAATTAATTATTATATTACTAATTATCTAATTATTTTTAACCCTAATTAATTTGTTAATTATTTTTTAAATTAGAAGTTATTTAACTAATAGTCATAATAATTATTTAAGTATTATTTATTTACTTTTAATTATTAATTATATTATTAATTTTCTCATTGATCACTTAAATATTCAACTACTAATTAATCATTTAATAACTATTTACACTATTAAGTATATAATTAACTATTTTTATTTTTAATTATATAAATAAACTAATTTAATGACCAATTATAGTAATAATCAGTTACTTAAGCAAAATTAGATTGATTAATTATATTACTAATTATTTAATTAATCTAATTAATTATCACTATTAAAATTCTATTAATAATGTTAACTTTGATTCATTTTTAATTTAGGAGGTTGTCTAGGGTTGCTTTTCATCTTGCCGCGCTTCGTTGCTGACGCTTTTCCTAGTCGTCATTTCTTCATGGTTGTTTAGGCTTCGTGTGCTGTGCTTTGCATGACCAGAGCTCGCTTGCTACTTCACCTCCTTCGAAGGCCTAGGATCGTAAGTCACGACGGGAGCTCGCTCGCTCGCTGCGTAGGTAACCTTCTCCTCCACCTTCCTTCACGACGGGAGCTAGCTCTGTCGCAAGCTCGTAAATCTCAGTCCCTAAATTCTTAAATCCGCCGAACCTAGGGATTTACACCGTAAATTAAATTCTTAAATCTGGAATTTATGGAGGACTGGGATGTACGGATGGCTCAAAAAACATTTCGCAGGATTTACCGGAAATCCGGCCTAAATCGGGGAAAATTTAGATACCAAACCACCCCTTAACAATTTGATTAAGAAATTCCTAGTCAAATTTCCTTCGGATCCCCCGGAGTTCACAAAAGAAAACTCTCATTTTTAGTCAATCGACTCCATCCTCCCGCCTAGATTCCTACTCTCAAATGGCAGCAATCCGATCCCAAACTCGCCTCCTGCACCCCCTCCCTCCCCTCTCCCTTTCCCACTCCTTCTCATCATCGCCGGAAATCCCCAGCGTCTCCGGCGACACCAACGATAGTATCGTGAGCACCGCTGTCTCCATCCTCCGCTCCCAACGCTGTCGGTCCCGCTGGAACTTCCTCAAATCCATTCTCCCTTCCTCCGGCATCGCCCCCTCCGAATCCTCGGCCATCATCCTCCACCTCCGCAATAATCCCCGCCTCGCCCTCCGCTTCTTCCTCTGGTCCCGTGACCACTCCCTCTGCAATCACAATCTCACCTCTTATTTCACCATCATCCACATCCTTGCTCGCTCCCGGCTCCGATCCGCCGCCCTATCTCTCCTCCGGGCCGCCATCCGTTCTCACCCCAACACCCCCCCTTCCTCCCTCCTCCAAACCCTAGCCCTCACCTACCGATCCTGCGACTCAGCCCCCTTTGTCTTCGACCTCCTCATCCAAGCCTACCTCCACTCCCACAATATCGACCCCGCCCTCTCCGTCCTCCGCTCCCTCCGATCCCGCGGCATCCGCCCTCTCACCTCCACCGCCAACTCCCTCCTCCGCGCCACCGCGAACCTTCGCGGATCAGCGGCCGCCCTTAATCTCTACCGCGACTTTGTTGAATCATTTCACCCTAATCCACAAACATTCAACACACTTCTCCTCGCGCTTTACCGCGACGGGAGAGCAGAATCAAACGGGGAGATTCTAGCGGAGATGGACCGATTCGGGTGCGATCCGAACGCGTTCACCTACAGTATTCAAATGGCCGGGTGCTCCGACGTTACGGAAGCGCGGAGGCTATGGGAAGAAATGGCAGAGAAAGGGATCAAACCTGACACTACCGCGTACAATACTCTGATAAAATGTTACTGCGATGCCGGGAAAGTAGAGAAGGGAGAGGAGCTTTACCGTGAGATGGTGATGGACGGATTGAAGACGACGGGGACGACGTTGGAACTTCTGATCAAAGGGCATTGTCGAGCTGGCAATGTCGAAGCAGCGATGCTGGTTTATGAGGATATGAGGAGGAATGGATTTGGACCGGAGGCCGAGACTGTGGATGAGATGCTTGTTGAAATGTGTGAGAAGGGGATGGTTGAGGAAGGGTTAGGAGTGTTGAGGGGTGAGATGGGGAGGGAGGTGGTGGTGTTGGGGAGTAGGAGGCGGAGTTATGAGGTGGTGATAATGGGTTTGTGTGGAGCTGGGAGGATGGAGGAGGCGTCGAAGTTGCAGGCGGAGATGGCGGGGAGAGGATTGGAGCCTGATGCGAGGGTTTATGAAGCGTTTATCTGTGGGTATGAGAAGGCGGGAGAGTTTGAGATGGCGGATAAGTTGAGGAAGGAAATGGTTCAAATGCAACTTGGGGAAGATGGCAATTGATTACTATGAGTGAAATGATCTCATAAATGATCGAAATGATCCTCGGCTTGGAGATCATAGATTTGAGCCATAGTGATTTATCATACATTCTTGCCAAAAATAAAACATCATTAATTATAAGTCATTAATTTTATGATCTGACATTCATTCAACGATTTTTCATGAACAACCTTTGATCAAGATCTGATGATCAATAATTAGATGCTGTTTGAATGTTTTTAAAATATATCGTTTTCAAAATATAAAATAATTAAAATACATAATTTAAAATTTTATGAGTTTTTTTTAAATATAAATTAAATATACTAAAATATATTCTTATTTATTAATATACATTGAAATGCAAGTGACTGAATTTTTTTGTAATAAAAATATCTTCTTTTTTTTTTCTTTCTCTGCATCATAAGCTAGGATTAATTATTTTGCGCAGACGCCGAACGTCGTTTGGAGGCCAATCAGAATGTGTCATGTCACACTTTCACTCGGTATTGTTCGTTACCGTTGTCATGGCTGCACCTGATTTGCCTCCAGACGTAGAGCTGCATCCGGCCTCCGCACATAATAATTTCTCCCAAGCTAGAGGGAATATAGGAGTAGGCGGAGCTATATCCAAATAAGGCGAAGGTAAGAAAGCAGCCCTCAAAAAAATTATTGATACTAAAAAAAATTTTGGCACATGGTTAGCTTTCAAATAAAATCATCCGCAAGAAATAGAAATAAGGTCAGGGTTGTGTGATTTGGTGAATTAATCTCTCTGTAAAGTAAAATAAATATATTTTATGTATAAACTTCAAAACAAAGCCAACCAAAAAAAATGCATACAAGCCCGTTTTTTACAACACCAAACAAAATGGCATCCCACTCCACAAAGAAATACTATTGAATGATTACCAGGTTTTTAACATATCAGTGCTGATGCGAAAGCTACACCAAACAAAATGGCATCCCACTCCACAAAGAAATA